TCGATTTGAGAATGGATTACGATACACTATTTCAATGTGGACCGCGATTTATACTGAAGCGAATTTTTGCCAATTCGATGGCTTGAACCGTAACGGATGAAGCGCATAGGCGGTGATCCAGTTGTCCCCTGTCACGCTATGGATCCTCGCGTATTTTGTGTGGTCAAACCTATGAAGCTGCTTCATTATTGAACCATTTCATATCATCTTGTCTTCAACGAATACAACATAGGTTTATTGGCCTGCCGCTGCAAGTTGTTATTAAAGAAATGGGAGTAAAACCACTTGACGATATTTAGACGACATTGCGCTCGCGCAAATGTAATGGGATTGTGCAAGCAGTCCGCAATGTTGCAAGACATCCGCTTGATCAATGGCGTCCGTCACTTCGAACAAAGCCGACTACCTACTTGTCCCGTGCCTCGCTATGGGCTTTTGCGTATTTCCTGTGGGTGTGTGGGTGAACCTATGCAGTGCAATCACTGGAACGCTGCTGGCTTTAATGAATCCACCTAAACCAGCCTATCTTCATTGGTTTCTAGCTGTAGCTAGTTATCAAAGTCAGGGGAGTAAGGGGACTATACGATATTCTGGCTACATTGCACTTGTGCGAATGCAGCATAACTGTATAAACAATAGGCGGTTGTGCAAGTCCACCTTTGATCAGGGGCGTTAGGTGTTTCAATCAGCAACAGAAACCCAGTTGTCCTCTGTCGCTCCATAGAGTTTCGCACATCTTGTGCTGGTGTTTTAGCGAACCTATCTGTCTGCTCGAATATTGAAACAGTGTAGGCTGTGATGAATCCAGTAAACACAGCAGAGCTTTATGATCCTCTTGTTGCACGAAACGACCAAAATAACTTAAGAGTGGAAATATTTGGGTGTTGCTCTTCCAAACACTGGACTGGAGGCGGCATCTTCAATACCGAGGTGCTACAATCGATATTCTGTGGCACAGAAAGAGATGCTCACCAAGGTTGTGTTCGTCGACCACTAAACAACACACGAAGCTGCTGAAGTTGCAAATTTTAACGAGCGCACTGCAGGGTAGCTTATTACCGCTCACAGGAAAGAATGTGCAACTACGCGGCAAAACAACAGAGAGAAAGTGAATCCTCTCAGCCTACTGCGCATTGATAAGACAGTTGAACAGCATTCCAAGGGTGATTTTTGTAGTTGAAGCAGTAGTTGACAGAAATCTGGTTCCATTCATCCTTATCTACAGTTTTCAATACTAATAGTAAGCTACAGATAACGCTCAACAAGTCCATTACAAGCAAAACCGCGTCAATAGTGTCCCGGCCTTACAACCTGACAGGTCTACCTTATCGACATCTCAGTGCCAGCACTATTCTTTCATGTTAGCCTCGCGGGCCTCGTTTGGAAAACGCATACTTTTAAAGGAATATAGTGTATTGAAAAGAAATAGAGCATTAACGGTGAACTCGTGCAGTTTCTGCAGGGCTGTCCAGCTGCCGTGTTTGTCAGGCTTAGCATCATAGTGTGGACGCAGTTCATGCAGTCCTGTTAGGTTATCCTTCCAACACTCGCTTTAATAACCGCACATAGCGTCTGGTCAGGCATCTGGCCGACGATTTCACATACGAAAGTTATGCACTAATGGGTTTAGCATGTACGAGTGGGCAGAGGGAAAGTTCAGCTAGTAGAATAAACCCGGGATCTTACTTAGACCACCCGGTATGTTGATCCGCGGCTATAGTTGCACCAAGGTGTCTTCGGAAGGCCGTTAAACGGTTTCTTAAACGCGCCGCATGTCCTCTGGAGCCAGCTTATCCCTGGTGCTTCCTCCACATCTGCGTTGTGTTCACGCATTTTTTCCCGTAGTCAAAGATGTTATTTCTTGACGTGCTCTCGTTCATACTGTCAAATCATTCAGTTCGCAGGTGGCTTTGCGGTCGAGGAACGCAAGCTTAGTAAGGATCACATTCTGTGCCAGTGAAGTCCACATGTACCACAACCGCCTTCAAGATGCGATCCCTTGCAGCCTGTCGCTCATTTTAGCAGTGTCGTGAAGCACAAGGCTAATAATGATATGCTGTGTTTGGTGAAGACATGATAAATTGCACTGGTCTAGTAATCAAGCGGCTTCATAGGTTTGACCACACAAGGTAGTCGATGGCTCGTAGAGTGACAGGGGACAACTGGATCACCGCCTATGCGCTTCATCCGTTACGGTTCAAGCCATCGAATTGGCAAAAATTCGCTTCAGTATAAATCGCGGTCCACATTGAAATAGTGTATCGTAATCCATTCTCAAATCGATTATTTCACAACGACACTCCAGTGCTAGGTAACATTAGTTTAAGTCACGATAAGTTATGTGATTGCGGAGTCTGCCTTTCCAGTAATCAAACAGCTACACAGGTCCATGTGCAAACTCAGACGCCCAAGAACTACGCGAAGACAGATGGGTGATGGAATGATACCCAGTTACTACCTTTGATTGGGGCAATCGTGGTTCACGATCAAGGGAATAGCGTCCAGTGGCGTTTTCTGGTTACACAACTCTGTTGCATCAGCATGAGTACAACGTAATCCGAACCTCCCCTTTTGCTTTTATGGCCATTTCTTTCAAGCGAATTGCTGATTTGCCGCTTGAAATCTAACGCGTGAAAGATGGTTTGCAAAACGTCCCATTATTTTGCATGAGGTTATAAATGTTATGCCAAACATCTTGCATCGTTTACAGAAACTTCAACTTGTTTTGCAGTGTCTAAATTAAAGTGCAAACTTCGGAATCTTTTTGTGAAAAGTCCAAAGTTTTTTCCAAACCCTGCAATGTGTTCTGCAAATGGTCCGAATTTGTTTGCAACATGTGCAATATAATTTGTGTACCGTCCATATAATTGATATGTATACATATATATATATCTATACATAAAGTCTTCAAGGTTAAAATAGCACTATCTGCACGTTTCACTTATACAATGGGTTATACAACGTTTTGTGAATTCAAGTGGGCTTAAGCTTTCTGTAGCTTTTTCTCTTTCATATTGTTTCCACCCATTTTATTCGTCCCGCAAATCCACCATGCTATCGTTGATATTTCAACTATTTCAAGTCAGCCTACTTATATTAAAGTTGTAAGAAACAATGGGTTTATTTAGGGGCAAAGTCAACATTTAACAAATCCCACAAGCGAATAGTGAAAGCACAAGTGAATTAGTCGAAATGATTATGATGTGTTGGTGGATTCATGATAAGTTTAGCATATCCACACAAGCTGGCTAGGTTATATTGTATCCCACTGATTTGGGTTAAAATTTTGTAATGGAGTTGGAGTTGTGGTACATAAGTCAAGTTCTGAATTCGATTATGACGGAAATTGGACAATCGTTTCGCAACTTTAACGCTAAAGTGTAAAACTCTTTCAGCAACATTCCAACTGGCCAACTTCAATTGCCAGGGTCTCAGTGAATGGTTATGATTGGGATTCTTTAAGTGACAACCTACATCATTTGGATTCTTGGGGTTTCAAATCCGCAGGCAACGATAGTGATCAGGTAAAACTGCTACATCCTTCGTTCTAAGTTGGAACAAGAGATGGAGCCCTTTTCTATGGATTGTCCAGAACGGCGAAATTGTGTGTTTTCCAAGATTTCAGACTTGGTGATTGTATTCCATATGTGGTCTCACGTGAGCATTGAGCTATTGGGAACTGATAGAGTTAACTGACCCAAATACAGTTATTCAGAAGACCGTGGGTCGACTGCTGTTTACTCGGTATAAGCAACCGAGAACTTCTTGTAACAGTATCAACAGATTACTTTCATGGAAAGCGCGCAACGGAACGTGTTTTACTCACTCACATTTGTTGCTTTTCTGATGCTGTATGCTCATTAAGCTAACTTGACAGTTGTAGACTGGAGCGTTTTCCGAGCTGACTACTCGTTAGCCCAGTTTAGGTCATTTTTCTGTTTGTTGTGCTCGTTAAATGTCTCGACGATCTGCCAAATCTCAAAACCATCCCAAACTACTAAAACTAAGCTGATCACCAGGAATAACCGTGGTCTTATGATTGATTGTTATGGGATGCCACAGTACCTCTCTGTCGTGTAACATCAAGCAGTACCTTCCAGCGGTGCTATTAGTGGACAAAATTTACACTCAGATTTTGAGACAGTATTTTGTTAAAGTGATCACTTGTGAAGAAGGCACAGTCTTCTGGTCAAAACTAGAATGATGTCTATTTTTTGGAATTCCCGAACGACTTCTGGTGCGATTTGACAATGACGAGCTTTCTACGTTTGCATCATTCGTAACCCTACTTCATTGTGCATTTAGGTGAATAAGGTACTCAATACCATGAATCGAACTTAACTGAACTTCATAGTCTCGTGGACTTATTTTCATGTTATCTGTTAAAATACTAAATAAAATTTACCCAAAGAAACTTGGGAACATATTACGACAGATTAGAAAGCGTAGGACTTAATGTGCGACTCACTGCGAGTGAATACGATCTTGGCGCTAGGTTTAGGTAGCGTTCTATTTTTCAAGCAATTATTGCGGTAAAGTGCAGCTAACATAATTGCCCGTTAAACCTACTGTTTAGCTTCTTTAGATGTTAATAAGCGTGGATCTTATAAGCAACGACGAGTTTAGGCTACCTAGCTTGACTGGCTATAACAAGCTAATTTCTGACTTCCTTAGGACACTGAACTGACTATTTTAACCCAGAAATATGTTATCACAAAAGTGGCGAAATTACCGTAATTTGTTTGTCACAGTTGCTAAGTTCTCAATTTGACAGTTAACGCAAAATTCAATCACTAGCATTTCAAAAATATATGGTGCCAAAAGTGGTACCAATTGTTTCTACTTTTGAAATTTATGACGGGTTGGTTAATGATTATTGTGGGTGCGTAACTACTAAGCAATCATCCCTTTTGGGCAGTTTCTTGCCGAAACTGAAGGCTAGCTCATTTTCTGTACATTGTTCTAAATGGAGTAAAATGATCCACTTTTACCTTACTTAGGTCGAACTAAACGCTATACTCACTAAAACTTCGGTGCAACCGGCAATTTCCAGCCTACCTCCTCTAACAGCCGATGCGTTGCGACGAAGAGTGGAGCAGTTTTGTATTGCAGAAGACAGAGAAATTTTTCTTATCGAACTACCACCTCCTCACCCAGATCAACTGAGCAAACGCTGTGGATTGATCTTGCGGCAACATCTTGTAGATGGGGAGGTAAAAAGACTATATATCGCTGGCTTAGAAGAAGGCAGTCCAGCCAGTCGGTAAGTTTTTTCTCAAACTTTCGGTTAATAAATTCTTCTTTCATGATTCCAATGTGTTTCGTAGACAAGTCATAATTTCGCTTGTATTGCCACACGACATCTCGGTTGAAAGCATACTCTGACTTTAGGGAAGCTCAGAATCATCTATCTGATACAAGAAGGCGGTTGCCTCCCTACCCACATGAAACATGATTTATCAACTGTTCGTTTGTTGCCTGTTAAAGTCATAGAACCAAGTGTGGATAATAGTTTGATGTGTACTTCCGAGTAGTAATGAAAAATAATGATTGTTTCTTAACTTGACCGAGTAAAATTGAACATTTACCAGTGCAAAATAGTTTCGTAGAAGCGGTCGTTGTTCACAGCTATACACCATAAGTTTCAAGCTATTCAACAGCTGTGGACAACCAAACAACATAGCCATGATTTTCGTGAATTTATAAGCTTTTGCTTTACAAATTCTATAGGTTTACAAGGTGAGAAGGCAAGCAATGTAGAGACAAGTGTAAAGAAATGGTTATACATCGGAGAGCTCATTATGATAGAGGTTAAAACCTACACATCACGCTTTGTGGGAAAGTTTGATGGGTACGCCTTTTTCGTACAGGGATTGTGTGATGTATTTTGGTTAGCGCATCCTTGTAAACTTTTGATCACTGCAAAGCAAGAGGCATTTATGATGTAAAATACTGGATCTAGTAGGAGGACTAAACGATCCGAAGAACCAAAAGAAAACCACTTCGTCTGCTCAGGAGTCCATGGAAGTCTGCATTCTGTGTGTCCCATGTGTACTTCAACCAGCACCCGTAATTATGCGGATATAACCGGAGGACTTTGTGGGAAGTAAAACATATATAAGCTAACTAACGATTTCCAAGTAGTTCGTCCCACGTCCTACTGATTGTTATGTTACCATCTTCCAGAAAAGGTGAAGCAGCCGTGTATTGCCTTCCCAAACGTATTATGCTCAGATGCATTAAAATCCTACCATCCAAATTTCCCTGCCAATCTCCTGTCCTCGATTACCTATCTAAATTGCGTGTTCCACCAAGATTATTTGATGATTGAAATTTGGAAAGCCACTTATAGGGTGGCAAATGGATACTGTATTCCCTGCAAGGCGACAACACGAAACTCAGTGGATTGTGAGTCATGTTACGTTGCTAGCAGTGTCGGCTGTCATAATTCACCCTGGTACAATGGTTCTAATCGTTGAAAAGCACGAACATGGTCAACAATCGAAGCCACATTTAGTGCTGTGAGAAGTCCTTTTTGGAAAATACGGAGCGGGCAAAAGCGTTTCCCACATCAATTTGGATGTTCGGTTGTTGTTCGACTGAGTCCTATTATGATGGAATCAAGTTGCTTTATTCAACATCCTTGTAATATTTTAGTATACAGGGAGTAAATTAGGTGATATGCCGACCCTCCCTAATAGGTATTGAGTTTTGCCTGACGATATCTCATCTTGGTGTTTTAGGGACTGCAAGTATTTATAGTACTGATGAGTTACCACCCAGTGTGAGGCAGATACTCAAGACCTAAAACTGTGATACACTTATCAATAATGATTCCACCAATTTGGAGTTCTTCACAACAGCTCCTACTCAGACAACGTCTGTGCACCGAAGAAAACGTTAGCTAGCCCATTCGTTTTTATTTGGACTGATCAATAATTTGCATCCACTGTCGTGTATGGTTTTTCCAGATGAGTGGGAGTGTGTCTGATTTTAAGCTACTTGGAATATTTCTCAATACATTAGGTCAAGGACATACAAGTTGTGAGTCGGTTTGGTCTAACGCAGTAGGCTTGTTTCGCTGGTAACTCGCGTTACTAGACATACGTTGCCTGTTCTCTGGTACGAATTGTCCGCGATTTCTCTCCTTCGCCGCCTTTTGTATTAAATCAATGAAATTGGGGACTGAAATTTTTCAATCGTGTGAAGCATTAGCGGAGCCTGAGATGGGATTAGGACGAAACCGTCGCATGATTACGTGCTACCTGTGACTTTCAGTAGGACTGGAAACTGATTTGATACGATTCTACACTTGTCATTAGATTTAGTTTACTTACCACTCTCAATTATAGCAATTTTTCTTTGTATCACCTAGGTTTTTACGCGTCCTCTAACAGTTAGCGTAAAAGAACAACTCGGAGATGGCGACTACCCATCCCATGGGAAACTTCTCGTTGAAGAAATTCTCTTTTCGGAATACGGCATCAATTAAATACCCTTGCTTCATAAACATTTATTATTTCGTTTCATCCGTTGTTCCCGTCGTCTGATCCTAATTTGTCTCGAAACAATTTCAACTCTCTCATCATTATGTTGCACATCATTGTGAGGCATGTGTTCAGAGTCGAAGTTAACTTCAAAGCCATTAGTTCTCGATAAATTGAACAACTGTGAACATCGCGATCGATCTGGCCGAGTCATTTGCATATGTGACACAAATTAAGCCGGCAAATTTGTACACCAAGCACACACCAAAATTGTTCGCACAGCTCGGTAAGGCGCTTCTTGTTTGCTCACTGTTGTCACCATATGTTTGACTGGTTTTTCTGTCACCAGCCACCTAGCTAACAACGGTATCGTTGAGAAGGCCATGAGTAATGGCGAATAACTTATCGCGAATTAAACTAAGCCAGGTGATACTCGAAATTCAGCGCCACTGCTCGGCAAACAAGAGGTCAAACTCCGGTGTGTGTTTAGGTCTTTTGTTGTCTATAGACGCAGACAGGATGAGAGACCGTTACATGTGACGTTTTCTTAAGTTTTATTTTTTGTGTTTCTCGATCGTTTAGGTTCCCAGGTGGAATAAAGTATAACAGGGACTGGAACTGGAGGATTATGTGTATCCCGCAGGCATACTTACCGCTAGACCACAGCGTTTCGCAAATAACGCTTGCAATAACCACTACAAATTTATGGCTAATTTTTTACTTTTGGCTGCATATTCGAAAATGATTGTGATGTAACCTGAAAATGCTTCAGTGAGTCCCAGGGTTAAGAGAGAGATTGGTGTGACAATTTTGGCTACTTCTTGTTCATTACCAGGCTATTTTTGTTTGACATCACCAGCTTCCAGTAAATAGAACGCACATTTCGCGGTACTCATGAGACAGTTATAGAATACACGACAAAAGTAAGTAAGTAGCACTTAGTAGTGCTTATGTTAGCCGTTAGAAATTATTTTCGATGCTTACAAGGCCTTCACTTGCATACTTAGCATTTTACTTTCAGGCAAACTGAACACCGGTAACTTTCAACTTTGAACACAGTCCCAGTTATCTGAATAACTGCGGTCCAATTTTAAGGAAGCTGCTACCTTACATATGATTTCGTTTTCGAGTAAAAGCACAGGGTTTATGCGCTAAACACTCACAATATTCTTTTGACCAGTGTCAGGTATTGCTTGCGGATCACAATGGCCTTATGATAAAGGTGTCAAACGTAAACCAATGCGTAAATGGCTCCAGTCGAAGTCTCACTCTCTCCACCTGAAGAATCAAATAAAGGATGAAACCGGTGGGTGAGCCACCTCGGCAATTCCTCACTAACGGCTACCTTCTCGGTGTTCAGAATTCTTAGAAATACATGTCGCAATCCAGACACACAGTGGGTGTTCCGAAACCCAAAAATGTGATGCACATTGTTAAAATTTGATTCCGTCAGATAGGAACGCTTAACAACTATCTAGTTTGTTACTGGATGAGCTGCGTCGTGCACTAGTCAAATATTTTGACAAAGATCGACGTAGTCTCTACGCTAAATCACGTCCATTCTGTCCATACTTAAAGGAGCCGCTTGTCTGCTGAATCGCTAGTGTTTAACTGTCACATCTTGGCTCATCCGGTAAATTACTCACGCTAGGGAAGATTGACTGCAGTCATCTTTATGCTACATGCCTATCTGGAATGTCACGATCGAATGTAATATTATTTGAAAACATCGTGCATTGTAGCTGCGGATGGAACCATTGATACTGCTCACGTATACTTGAAAATAGGTCTCTTTATTGTCAGCACGTGATCTAAGGCGTTGCGTCATGACTTTGGACTGTTTCTAAAAAAATCGAACCGCAAAGTAAATGAATACATTTTTAGACCCACAGCTTACATGGATACGTACGAAACCTTCACTGGCAGCCAACAAGATGGAGTTTGACCTCAAGTTACCAGTATTAGTTTATTTCTTCTGCATTTCAATCTTTTCTTTCTTCCGAAGGAGAGTAAGATAAATTGTGTTTCATTTTTTGTCTACCCTTCTGAATGCCTTCGTGTATATTCCTCTGTGATTAATGATCTTTTACATTTGCCAAAAACAACGTTTTAAAACATATCATCATTGCCGAATCCCATGGAGTAAATATTAAAGCTTTTTTCTTTTGTGGATGAAATTAACTTATTTCCAACATCTGTATTTGAGCAAAACCTGGACTGGTTCAATACCTAGCTGAACAAATAATAGTCATTTGTGATAATCGTATAACTAGAAGGCAGTCGCACATTAAACCTTCTGTCGATTAATCACCAAATTGCTGATCTGATCAAAACACAGGAAAGCTCTCCCTCCTGTCACTTTCGTTACAAACAATATATGTTGCTATGTCTTTCCCAGCATTGTAACCATGCAGAAGAATATTGAGAAATTTGTGATAGACGAGGGAAAATGGTGCTTACCAGAGCCAAAGCGCAATAGTAGATGATCGCGCTTGGTTGGGTGCTATGACTTTTACGCGAATAACAACTATCATCCCGTAAATATCTTCCGCTTACTGCAGTCGATGGCCTAGGAAAGATAATGTATAAAGATTCGCCTTAGTATATCGGCGGCAACGAGACTTGACCATAACGTGGTGCGACGGTTTGCGTACCTTTTTGACCCATTGAGCTATACTGGGTGATGACTCCGGTCATCTTGAGAACTACTCCTACCAGGTTGGTCAATGGTGAAAGGTCAGACAAACTCAGTCTCCTGCACATCCAGGTTGGGGGT